TAGTAGCCAGAACGCACTTCTCAGCCTACTATGCAAGGCCCGATTTGCCTAATACGCCAAGTTTTCCTGAATTAATATATTTTCAATAATTTTTTTCTTATGAAATGATAAAGCTATCCATTTCATTATGTATGAGGTCAATTTTTTTTATTCGAGTTAAAATTAACGTAGATATATGACCGAACCTAACCAACCCTACCTAACCTAACCTGACCTATCTTTATAGGTTAGGTTAGGTTATGTAGCCGAAAATGTTAGGTTAGGTTAGGTTAGGTAGGTTAGGTAGTCGAAAAAGCATTAGTTCATGAAAACTTGGCTTATTAGGCAAATCGGGCCTTGCATAGTAGGCCGAGAAGTGCGTTCTGGCTACTAGGTACGACATATATATATATATATATATATATGTTTTATATATATATATATATATATTTATGTCGTACCTAGTAGCCAGAACTCACTTCTCAGCCTACTATTCAAGGCCCGATTTGCCTAATAAGCCAAGTTTTCCTGAATTAATATATTTACTATAATTTTTTTCTTATGAAATGATAAAGCAACCCTTTTCTCTATGTATGAGGTCAATTTTTTTTTATTGGAGTTAAAATTAACGTAGATATATGGCCGAACCTAACCAACCCTACCTAACCTAACCTAACCTATATTTATCGGTAAGGTTAGGTTAGGTAGCCAAAAAAAGCTAGGTTAGGTTAGGATAGGTAGGTTAGGTAGACGAAAAAACATTAATTCATGAAAACTTGGCTTATTAGGCAAATCGGGCCTTGAATAGTAGGCTGAGAAGTGCGTTCTGGCTATTAGGTACGACATTTATATATATATATATATATATATGTTATATATATATATGTTATATATATATATATATATATATATATATATATATATATATATATATATATATAAATATATATATATATATATATATATATATATATATATATATATATATATATATATTTATATATATATTTATATATAATTGGGATGATAGCGGACAGAGTGTATCGTGATCCGGCTTGTAGTCCTCTTGACATACCAGAAAACACACTAAGGAAACTACTCCATGCTTGCACTAAAGAGGGATTCTTCTTAAGCCCAGATGGACACATGTATAAGCAAATAGATGGGGTCGCCATGGGTTCTCCTCCAGGGGTCCAGTTTACGAACTTCTACATTGGTACCATCGACCAGGTCTTAGTTGACATGGACTTGAAACCGGCCATATACTGCAGGTATGATGACGACATTTTTACGCAGGTACCTGATGTCAGACATCTGCAGGAGATGAAGGAGGCCTTTGAGCGGAATTCTGTGTTGAGTTTCACCTACAAGATGGAGAAGGATGGGAAGCTGCTCTTTCAAGATGTAACAGTCACGGAAAGGAGAGGAGGCTTCCACACTGCAGTCTACACTAAGGAAACAAACATAGGAATGTGCCTCAATGCCAATAGTGACTGCCCAGACCGGTACAAGAGGAGTGATGTCAACGCTTATGTCGACCGTGCTCTCAGCCACAGCTCAGGATGGAAGCAAGTCAATGAAGAACTCTGTAAGGTAAGCAGGTCCTAGTCAACAACGGCTTCTCTAATGTTTTTGTTGAAGACATCATAAAAAGAAAGTTGAAATGCCATACAACCTCTGAAGAGTCAACTAACAAAACACATGTACCCCATTTAAGACTATTTTACAGGAACTTCTTTTCGACGGCTCATGAAACGGAGGAAATGGTCCTGAAAGACATTGTTGATAGGATCGTTATCCCTACAGACAAAAATCAGAAAATACAGTTGACAATTTACTATAAAACCAAAAAAACGGCCAACCTACTCATGAAAGCTCTCCAGACACCAAGCAGAACGCCTTGAAGGAAACCATAGTCGTCTATGCCTTCAAATGCCCACTTGGCGACTGTAAGCCCCAAAGAACTCACTATATAGGCAAAACAACAACGTCTCTTTCCAGGCGATTAAAAATGCATAAATAACAGGGCTCCATCATAGAACATATAATCTCTTCTCAACCAGACCATCACCAGAGAAATCTTAACAAACAACACAGAAATCATCGATAGATACAGCGATAGCAGGCGGCTTGACATCTGTAAGGCACTACACATCAAAAAGTCAACACAAGCAATCAACAGCCAAATAATGCACAACTGTATTCTACCCACTTCAAGACCCCGAACCAATATCGGAGCATCAAGAGAAAGTATGGGCCAATAGGCCTTCTGCAGTTACTTTCATTCTTATGTTCTTTACCCATTGGTTCGTATTCTATCATGTGCAAATGTCAATCACCTCACCCAAAACCTTTGTACCATATCACCTCACCCAAAGCGAGTATAAGTATGGATGTATTTTGTGTGTTTACAGGTTACAGTTGTTTGTGTAAATTAAAGTCTTTGAAAATGTAATAAGTTATTACGAAACTTATCGATCTTGGATCTTTGGTTTGGTCAAGCAAAAAGGACGTTCTACAAACAGACTACTAAGTCTAAACCAGAAAAATTCGTTGGTATTACCATATTCTGATGATCTAGTAAATCTTGCCCCAGCCCTGAAGAACCTTAATATTAATCTAGTGTTCAAAAATGATAATACAGTTAAGTCCATGTTAATTAAGAACTCGCCCTCGTCTGTAGCAAGTTGTGTGTATTCCATCCCTTGTAATGAGTGTGCGTGTGTTTACATCAGCTAGACAGGTAAATCTCTTTCCTCGCGTTTAAAACAGCATTCATATGCTATTCGTACAGCCCAGCACTCAGTGCATTGTATTTACATTCCAGTTTATGTAATCATTCTATCGACTTCACAGGGGCAAAATGTATTGTTAAAAGTAAGGATTTTGTTGAACGAAACGTGATCGAGTCTGCTCTGATCAAACATTGTAACAACAGCCTTAATGTGAGCCCCGGTATGTACAAGTTGGATCCCTATTTAAGCCTCAATATAGCACGTCAAAACAATATGGCATCCATTTAACACGTATGGCACTTGGAGATATTAATAGGAGCTGCCTTGTATGGGCCAATAGGCCTTCTGCAGTTACCTTCTTTCTTATAATTCCTTTCCTTCACTTATTCTTGGTGGTCAGGTGATCTGCCCAGGCGGATATAAAGGTCTGATCAGCAATGTTTTCTTATCTTCATTCTACTTTGCTCTGATGAAGGCGACATGAAAACTTGGCTTATTAGGCAAATCGGGCCTTGCATAGTAGGCAGAGAAGTGCGTTCTGGCTACTAGGTACGACATACATATACATATATGTATATATATATATATGTATATTGTGACGATAATCTCCTTCAAGAGATTGAGCCTGCTCTTCCCTCCACAATTACGTCGTTAAAACTATATAAAACTACTATGGAAGAAATGTCCAACGACAACAACACCAGCAAGGTTTGCCAGAGCGCAAAACGTATGCAGCCAGGGACACCTGTTCAGACTCAAACCGCCAAACTACCTGTCTTACTACCGGCTCCGCTGATTGGTCGCCGGTCTGGCTGCAACTGCACTCGCCCCCCCCATACTACTTGATGTCTGGGGTCGCCACGACCTCAGACCTCAGAATATTCAGTGCTTCCACAGTTAACACTTCTTCCGGCTAGACGTTAGCGTATACTGAGAGAGGTGGTAGCTTAAAGCCAATATTCCTGCACCTTACCTTTATTTTTGTATTGCACTTCTTGTTATTTTGTCTTAACGTAACTTTTCATTGTGTCATTTAATTATTCTTATTATTTTGATTGATTGATTTTATTATACGAATTTGTTTGTCCATTTTATTCATGTTTTGATTTATTTAACGTAATTAAAATTTCATTGTTAAAATTTACTTGTGTTTTGTGTGTCTTCTCCTTACCTTACCACAGACGAAGTTCCAGTTTTTTCTATTTTTTTTTATAACTATGTGACGAGGCCATACCCCTAGCCTTAAACAGCCGAACACCAACGCGTTACCGTCATATATATATTAGTATATATATATTATTACCGTCATATATATATTAGTATATTTTGGTTGCCGTCTTTCCTGTAGACATATATTGTTAAATATGACCGAAAAAGTAAGATTAATAATTCTAACACGAATTTTCTCGATCTTTCTTACGTTTCTTTTCACTGTTGATGGTAATTCAAAGATCAATTCTCCAAAATTCATTTTTATTTCTAGTCTGACGCGACACTTGAGCGCGTTTCGTAAAACTTATTACATTTTCAAAGACTTTAATTTACAAACACACAACTGAAACTGAATAGAGCTTACACATCTTCGATTTTATATCTACATTTGGGTGAGGTGGATGAGGTGAAAACAAACTTTCAACAATGGGTATTGAATGGGTATTAAATTCAAAGACAAGACAGAACACGAAACAATGGGTATTGAATGGAAGTAATTGTAGAAAGCCTATTGGTCCATATTTCTTGATGCTTGAGAGAGAGAGAGAGAGAGAGAGAGAGAGAGAGAGAGAGAGAGAGAGAGAGAGAGAGAGAGGGAGAGACAGAAAGAGAGGGAAGAAAGAGAGTGAGAGAGGAGAGATAATGAAAAGACAGAAAGGGGAGAGAGAGAGAGAGTGTGTGTGTAATGATCTGTGCTTCTCCTGTCTCCCCTTTCTCCCCTCTCCCTATCACTCCTCTCCCTTTGTCTCGTCGTCTTACCCTCCTTTCTTCACCCATTATTTCCTTCCCCCTCCCTTCCCATTGGTCACGGTCCGGCTTCACCAGCCATAAACTACTCAGGTCAAATTTCCCTCAGGCAAGTGGGACCGTCAGGCCACTTGTCGCCTCCAGTCCCAAATCCTCCTCCCAATAATATTCCCTAATTCTTCCCTCCAATCCGTGCCTCCAATATCTCCCAATCCATCCATCCCAATCGTTTCCTCTCTCTCCTTCTCGATCCTCCCTAGCCATTGACAGATTGAGGGCCAGAACATTCTTTAGTGCCATAAAAATCGAGCTGCTCCAATGCTACAGACACCAATAGCAGTGACAGCAGGAGCTCCACCAGAGATATAGACAACAACAGCAGTGACAGCAGGAGCTCCACCAGAGATATAGACAACAATAACAGTGACAGCAGGAGCTCCACCAGAGATATAGACAACAATAACAGTGACAGCAGGAGCTCCTCCAGAGATATAGACAACAATAACAGTGACGGCAGGAGCTCCTCCAGAGATAGAGACAACAATAACAGTGACAGCAGGAGCTCCTCCAGAGATATAGACAACAATAACAGTGACGGCAGGAGCTCCTCCAGAGATATAGACAACAATAACAGTGACGGCAGGAGCTCCTCCAGAGATATAGACAACAATAACAGTGACAGCAGGAGCTCCTCCAGAGATATAGACAACAATAACAGTGACAGCAGGAGCTCCTCCAGAGATATAGACAACAATAACAGTGACAGCAGGAGCTCCTCCAGAGACATAGACAACAATAACAGTGACAGCAGGAGCTCCTCCAGACATATAGACAACAATAACAGTGACAGCAGGAGCTCCTCCAGAGATATAGACAACAATAACAGTGACAGCAGGAGCTCCTCCAGAGATATAGACAACAATAACAGTAACAGCAGGAGCTCCTCGAGAGACATCGACAACAATAACAGTGACGGCAGGAGCTCCACCAGACATAGACAACAATAACAGTGACAGCAGGAGCTCCACCAGACATAGACAACAATAACAGTGACAGCAGGAGCTCCACCAGACATAGACAACAATAACAGTGACAGCAGGAGCTCCACCAGACATAGACAACAATAACAGTGACAGCAGGAGCTCCACCAGACATAGACAACAATAACAGTGACAGCAGGAGCTCCACCAGACATAGACAACAATAACAGTGACAGCAGGAGCTCCACCAGAGACATAGACAACAATAACAGTGACGGCAGGAGCTCCACCAGAGACATAGACAACAATAACAGTGACGGCAGGAGCTCCACCAGACATAGACAACAATAACAGTGACAGCAGAAGCTCCACCAGAGACATAGACAACAACAACAGTGACGGCAGGAGCTCCACCAGACATAGACAACAATAACAGTGACAGCAGAAGCTCCACCAGAGACATAGACAACAATAACAGTGACGGCAGGAGCTCCACCAGACATAGACAACAATAACAGTGACAGCAGGAGCTCCACCAGACATAGACAACAATAACAGTGACGGCAGGAGCTCCACCAGACATAGACAACAATAACAGTGACAGCAGGAGCTCGTCGTACTAATGTATAAGACGAGTACTGAGGACCAACAGACAGTTGACCTTTTTAAAGATACGGGACACTTCTAGCAGAATGATAACTTAGAGAGTAATGGAATCACTGGACCGGGTGTACCGTATGATTGGACCGGGTGTACCGTATGATTGGACCGGGTGTACCGTATGACTAGACCGGGTGTACCGTATGACTGAACCGGGTGTACTGTATGACTGGACCGGGTGTACCGTATGATTGGACCGGGTGTACCGTATGACTGGACCGGGTGTACCGTATGACTGGACTGGGTGAACCGTATTACTGAACTGGGTGTACTGTATCACTGGACCGGGTGTACTGTATCACTGGACCGGGTGTACCGTATGATTGGACCGGGTGTACCGTATGACTGGACCGGGTGTACCGTATGATTGGACCGGGTGTACCGTATGACTGGACCGGGTGAACCGTATGACTGGACCGGGTGTACCGCATGACTGGACCGGGTGTACTGTATGACTGGACCGGGTGAACCGTATGATTGGACCGGATGAACCGTATGACTGGACCGGGTGTACTGTATGACTGGACCGGGTGTACCGTATAACTGGACCGGGTGTACTGTATGACTGGACCAGGTGTAATCTATGACTGGACCAGGTGTACCGTATCACTGGACCGGGTGTACTGTATGACTGGACCAGGTGTACTGTATGACTGAACCAGGTGTACTGTATCACTGGACCAGGTGTACTGTATGACTGGACCGGGTGTACTGTATGACTGGACTGGGTGTACTGCATCACTGGACCAGGTGTACTGTATCACTGGACCGGGTGAACCGTATGACTGAACCGGGTGTACCGTATGACTGGACCGGGTGTACCGTATCACTGGACCGGGTGTACTGTATGACAGGACCGGGTGTACTGTATGACCGGACCGGGTGTACCGTATCACTGGACCGAGTGTACCGTATCACTGGACCGGGTGTACTGTATGACTGGACCGGGTGTACTGTATCACTGGACCGGATGTACCGTATGACTGGACCAGGTGTAGTGTATGACTGGACCGGGTGTACCGTATCACTGGACCGGGTGTACTGTATGACTGGACCAAGTGTACTGTATGACTGGGCCGGGTGAACCGTATGACTGGACCGGGTGTACTGTATGACTGGACCAGGTGTACCGTATCACTGGACCGGGTGTACTGTATGACTGGACCAGGTGTACTGTATGATTGAACCGGGTGTACTGTATCACTGGACCAGGTGTACTGTATCACTGGACTGGGTGTACCGTATCACTAGACCGGGTGTACCGTATGACTGAACCGGGTGTACTGTATGACTGGACCGGGTGTACTTTATGACTGGACCGGGTGTACTGTATCACTGGACCGGGTGTACCGTATCACTGGACCAGGTGTACCGTATGACTGGACCGGGTGTACCGTATGACTGGACCGGGTGTACCGTATCACTGGACCAGGTGTACCGTATCACTGCACCGGGTGTACCGTATCACTGGACCGGGTGTACTGTATGACTGGACCAGGTGTACTGTATGACTGGACCAGGTGTACCGTATCACTGGACCGGGTGTACTGTATGACTGGACCGGGTGTACCGTATCACTGGACCAGGTATACCGTATCACTGGACCGGGTGTACCGTATGACTGGACCGGGTATACCGTATGACTGGACCGGGTGTACCGTATGACTGAACCGGGTGTACTGTATCACTGGACCAGGTGTACTGTATCACTGGACCGGGTGTACCGAATGACTGAACCGGGTGTACTGGATCACTGGACCGGGTGTACCGTATGACTGAACCAGGTGTACTGTATCACTGGACCGGGTGTACCGTATGACTGAACCGGGTGTACTGTATGACTGGACCGGGTGAACCGTATGATTGGACCGGGTGAACCGTATGACTGGACCGGGTGTACTGTATGACTGGACCGGGTGTACCGTATCACTGGACCGGGTGTACTGTATGACTGGACCAGGTGTACTGTATGACTGGACCAGGTGTACCGTATCACTGGACCGGGTGTACTGTATGACTGGACCAGGTGTACTGTATGACTGAACCAGGTGTACTGTATCACTGGACCAGGTGTACTGTATCACTGGACCGGGTGTACCGTATGACTGAACCGGGTGTACTGTATGACTGGACCGGGTGTACTGTATGACTGGACCGGGTGTACTGTATCACTGGATCAGGTGTACTGTATCACTGGACCGGGTGAACCGTATGACTGGATCGGGTGTACCGTATGACTGGATCGGGTGTACCGTATCACTGGACCGGGTGTACTGTATGACTGGACCGGGTGTACTGTATGACCGGACTGGGTGTACCGTATCACTGGACCGAGTGTACCGTGTCACTGGACCGGGTGTGCTGTATGACTGGACCGGGTGTACCGTATCACTGGACCGAGTGTACCGTATCACTGGACCGGGTGTACCGTATGACTGGACCAGGTGTACTGTATGACTGGACCGGGTGTACTGTGTGACTGGACCGGGTGTACCGTATGACTGAACCGGGTGTACAGTATCACTGGACCGGGTGAACCGTATGACTGAACCGGGTGTACTGTATCACTGGACCAGGTGTACTGTATCACTGGACCGGGTGTACCGTATGACTGAACCGGGTGTACTGGATCACTGGACCGGGTGTACCGTATGACTGAACCGGGTGTACTGTATCACTGGACCGGGTGTACCGTATGACTGAACCGGGTGTACTGTATGACTGGACCGGGTGAACCGTATGATTGGACCGGATGAACCGTATGACTGGACCGGGTGTACTGTATGACTAGACCGGGTGTCCCGTATCACTGGACCGGGTGTACTGTATGACTGGACCAGGTGTACTGTATGACTGGACCAGGTGTACCGTATCACTATACCGGGTTAACTGTATGACTGGACCAGGTGTACTGTATGACTGAACCAGGTGTACTGTATCACTGGACCAGGTGTACTGTATCACTGGACCGGGTGTACCGTATGACTGGACCGGGTGTACTGTATGACTGGACCAGGTGTACTGTATCACTGGACCAGGTGTACTGTATCACTGGACAGGGTGTACCGTATCTCTGGACCGGGTGTACGGTATGACTGAACCGGGTGTACTGTATGAATGGACCGGGTGTACTGTATGACTGGACCGGGTGTACGGTATGACTGGACCGGGTGTACTGTATGACTGGACCGGGTGTACTGTATCACTGGACCGGGTGTACCGTATGACTAGACCAGGTGTACTGTATGACTGGACCGGGTGTACTGTATGACTGGACCGGGTGTACCGTATCACTGGACCGGGTGTACTGTATGACTGGACCAAGTGTACTGTATGACTTGGCCGGGTGAACCGTATGACTGGACCGGGTGTACTGTATGACTGGACCGGGTGTACCGTATCACTGGACCGGGTGTACTGTATGACTGGACCAGGTGTACTGTATGACTGGACCAGGTGTACCGTATCACTGGACCGGGTGTACTGTATCACTGGACCAGGTGTACTGTATCACTGGACCAGGTGTACTGTATCACTGGACAGGGTGTACCGTATCTCTGGACCGGGTGTACCGTATGACTGAACCGGGTGTACTGTATGAATGGACCGGGTGTACTGTATGACTGGACCGGGTGTACGGTATGACTGGACCGGGTGTACTGTATCACTGGACCGGGTGTACTGTATGACTGGACCAGGTGTACCGTATGACTGGACCGGGTGTACCGTATGACTGGACCGGGTGAACCGTATCACTGGACCAGGTGTACCGTATCACTGGACCGGGTGTACCGTATCACTGGACTGGGTATACCGTATCACTGGACCGGGTGTACCGTATCACTGGATCGGGTGTACCGTAGCACTGGACCAGGTGTACCGTATGACTGGACCAGGTGTACCGTATGACTGGACCGGGTGTACCGTATCACTGGACTGGGAGTACCATATGACTGGATCGGGTGTACCGTATCACTGGACCGGGTGTACTGTATCACTAAACCGGGTGTACCGTATCACTGGACCAGGTGTACCGTATCACTGGACTGGGTGTACCATATCACTGGACCGGGTGTACCGTATGACTGGACCAGGTGTACCGTATGACTGCACCGGGTGTACCGTATCACTGGACCGGGTGTACTGTATCACTGGACCGGGTGTACTGTATCACAGGACTGGGTGTACCATATCACAGGACTGGGTGTACCGTATCATTGGACTGGGTGTACCGTATGACTGGACCGGGTGTACCATATCACTGGACTGGGTGTACCGTATCACTGGACCGGGTGTACCGTATCACTGGACCGGGTGTACCGTATCACTGGACTGGGTGTACCGTATCACTGGACCGGGTGTACTGT